AAAAACGGTAATCCTAAATCTTCAACATGCGCGTATTGTAACCATAAAGGCCACTCAATTCATGAATGCCGGAATAAGAAATGGGCAGACAATAGACGTCACCAAGAAATAGAAAGCTAATCCAGCATATTGGGAAACGAGCCTCGCCCCTCAACGGCCAGTGCGCGTTTAGAGGAAAATATGGCTCATTGCGGTACCGTGGTAAACCAATCGATTGAGAAAATCACTATTTTTACAATGTGAATGTCAACATATGTAATACACCTACAATCATTCTAAAAAGACGCCAGCAAACGAGCCCTTTTACTCTTATGATCGATACAGGTGAGAAAATAAATTTAATTTAAAAAAGCGCTTTAGCGGCAGGCCATGAGATCCATAGATCTCTGCAGATTCAAGTAAACGTGATAACCCCGACCAGACTAATGACGGAAGGGATAGTTGGACTTCCACTTCTTGGCCGACCAACACAGTTTCATATCGTCGGAAGCGACCCAAGTACCCAACAAGACGTAATATTAGGTACTTCTTTGCTTCTTTCACCTTCAGCAAGAATAAACTATGTCACGAAAAAACTGCAATTAGGAAACACTGAAATTGATTTTTCTACGCAGGACATAGTTATATTACCTCTTCGAAGCAAGAAACAGATATTTTTAGCCCTCGCGAGAGAATCACCATCATCCGATCACCTTCCACGATTACTGCTTGGCGATAAAGTGTTCATAGGAGAAGCGTTAGTGTCAAATGGTAATGGACTGATTTTCGTAACTGCAATTAATACAGACTCGCACACAGTGCTTATTAAATGTTCTCCAGTCACTATAGATGAATATGACAATGTTGGAAAAAATCAGATGGCATACTGTGTAGCTCGCGCCACATCGTCTCATAATATCGACGATCGCGCAGAAAAGTTAAAAAATCTGGTCAGGCTCGAGCATCTCAATGATCAAGAAAAAGTGGAAATTATCTCCTAAATATCTGAAACTCAAGACGTTTCTCACATACCTAGAGCTTACCTAGCTGAGTGCTCGGTCTGGTGGCGGAGAGGTACAATTAGAGAGGGAGGCGGTCGAGTCCTCGATCCTACGCAGGGGAGCTATGACTAGAGAGCGGCCTCGTCCTCTCCTCGGGGCTGGGCGTTTAACTCTCGATCCTAAAAGAGAAGAGAGCGCCCCAGTAAGCGAGAAGAGTGAGAGAGGTTAAGCGAAGTGCTTAGAGAGCCAACCAGAGACTTCAGCGCTCAAGGCGACCCGAGCACGAACAGAGAGCGAGTGCCTGTAGCGCAGGGCCTCATATACATCCAATTGACGGAGTGGGGGTAGCACGTCGTGTGGCATAGTGCCTAGCGCTCTCCGCTAAGCTACCGAAGCGTCGACGTACGAGAGATGTGAGGAAGGCGTGCAGGTGATCCTATACAAAAAATCTTTAAAAAAATCCTAAAAAATCCTAAATAGGGACTCGCTGCCTACCATCGTCATTTTATTGAGGGGTTCTCAAAAATAGCCCGGCCTCTGACCGCACTATTGAAAAACCACGTACCGTTTGAATGGCGGACTGAACACTAAGAAGCTTTTGACACGCTTCGAAAACGACTAATAGAAGAGCCGATTTTTCAGTACCCAGATTTTAACCAGCCATTTATTGTATCAACGGATTGCTCTATAAAAATACGTTACGATACGATGGCACAACGAAACAATATGAAGTTGAGTAGAATCGGATGGCAGCAGGGAGCCCCTAGCGCGCGAATTTTCCTGTTAAATTGAGCGTTGAAATGTGATGTGAGCATGACAAGCATGACTACATTATTAGTTCATTATTATTATTGTCGAATGCGAGACTCATAGTATAATTAAATGCACGTCCGCATAATGAATTCTTTTTACAATCTGAATCACATAAATTTCCAATTTGTAATAAAATCTTCGAAATAATCAACTCCGATGAAAAAATTCATATATATATATATTAGAAAGCAACACTGGGTGAGCTTATACTAGCGCCCAGCAACCTTTAGGTAGTGAAGAGCCAGCCTATTATAAGAGTCGAGATAATCTCCAAGTCCTAATGGCCATTCAATGAGCCAACCTTTGTTTGCGAATGAGCCTCAGTCGTGATGATATTGCCGTCAGCGACGTAGAGTCGGGTACGGTTGGAACGAAAATGGCTAAACCGTCGGAATTGGCGCAAAGCTTTAGTTTCAAATTTCAACTATAAAATTGTAAAATGAAACTGTGCAATGAAAAACTCCGGGGAATATATTTCGGAAATGGTTTTCGGCAATTATTATTTTCCTTTCGAATTTGCCACACGAAATGGGAAAAATAAAAATTTTCCAAGGTTTCATTATATATTGTAACATGTTATGTGATTTTCGACCCTTCGACGGTCATTTTGGATGTCCAGACGAGGAGTCACCGTGAACAAGAGTCGAAACTGTGATATTTTGTCATTTTATTAATTTTATTTTTGTTTTGTTTTGTTATTGTATTGAGTCAATTTCATCGCTTACCGATGAACAATTGCATTGCGGAACTTCAGAAGACAACAAGGAACTATATTAACGAATTTTTGGCTGCTCCAACGAATTTTGAAAAAGGAAAACATAATTTGAATGATGTCCTGTCCCCGCGCTGAGTCTTGGTGATTGAAAGGGACGATAGATGGCAGATGGAAAATCCGGACGAGAAAATTGTTAATGAGTTGTTGAATTCGGAATATAATGGATTAATTCAGGCAATGTGTCTTTGTCATTGCTGAATTAATATTGTGAATGAAGTATGCTGTTTTACCGATACCCGAATGAGATAATAATTTGGGCAGTAAAACATTAATAAGGGTAATCAGATTTCGATAGAGGGCCAATCAATAAATCGATTATCGCCCATAGTTAGCCAATCTAATGATTGGTAACGTTATTTATGACGACGCTCGACTTGGCATGGTTCTATCGATTCACTCATCGTTTGGACATCACGTAAAGCAGTATCGTTATTTGTGAGTTCAGTCAAATATATCGCGGAGGAAAAGAATTGATTTTGGAGAGGTCCAATTAGTATTTCGAGGACGATCTCATTTCCTTGGAAATTCTAACGCCCTAATAAATTGATTGGATATCGGTAAGCGATTGAACACTTCCGAAAAGTATTTGTGGTTAATTTATTAATTGTTAAAATTTTCGATTTCTTTAAGACGCTTGGCGTCCATTGTCTTATGGTCAATTTCTCCAGGGGGTTTTGCCATTGCTGGGGAAAGGTGTTTGTAATTTTCTAGCGATATATTCCGACAAGTTTTGTTGTTATTGACTCTTGTTCAAATTGTAAGGCTATTTTATTTAGATATTTTGTGAATCTAACGAAAATTGAAATTATAGCATCATTAGCGATGCTTGAGTAATTTATTTTCCTTTGAGAGGTCACTTACAAGGTCAACGGATTTACAGGAATTTAGTGACTCAAAATAATTTCAGTTTATCGTATTTTCATTGTGGAACGTATTGCCACTTGTTTATTAACCTGGAGAATATCGATTGAATTCCTTTATTTCAGATTTCATTTTGGTTAGGGAATTGACTTCATTATCTCTTTAAATTAATATTGTACATTTCATTTGAGAATTGAATATTGATTTAATTTATTTATATTTTTTTTATAATTCTTGACAAATGTTACCTTGCATCTTGGCTTTGTTTTATTAGTTTGATGAGTTTGATGATTAGGGATTAGTGATTAAAATTCTTATTTATATCGAATCTTGGACTTTGAAATCTGTAGACTAAAATTTATAGAAAGGTTTATAAAAAATTATCAATTGGTTTTTCGAGATTATCGTCTCAATCGAAATGAAGGACGAATAAATAGTGTTTTGTTATTAAATAATTCTTGATCTTGAAAACCCCAATCTTGAAAAACCCAATCATTCCAGAAGTTGTCTTTGGGAGCAGGATCATTGAACCCAGCCGCCTCCGCGGTTGATACTGAGTTGCTGGTTACTGTTCCTGTCGTTATTTTATTTAAATGGTTTTTGTGCATTTTGATGAGAAAATGTACTGGCGCCTGACTTAGATTTAATTAGTTCGATTGCAGAGGGCTTCGTATTTCTTTTCCTTTCCACGAGGAAACGAAAATACGTCGCAATATATAGTGCATCATGTACTTAACTCTATCGCTCCTTACAATACCGAGAAACTTCAATCTAACACTCGCTGTCAATTCACTCTAATTAGTAATTTAAACAAGTTGGTGATCGTACTGAATGAACTTTTAAAGAAAATGTGAATGCTTTGAATGCTCGTGGCTAACTGGTTGACGTGACAATTTGGTTGATTGACTGAGCCTGACCGATGACCCAATATTTTCCGGTGATTTTCGAAGGTGGCCGATTCACCCTGTTGGTAATTAGTCCAAGTTAGGCTGCCTGTCAAACAAGATGTTTAACATAAATTGAAATTGTACGAGGATTGTTCATATTCCTGCATAATCCGTCCAGTCAGGCAGCCTCAGTGAACTAACTCGTAACTGCTAAGGCTTTCCCAGCCCAGTTCTCATCGTCAGCCTTTAGGATTCTTATTAGACTTATATTCATTTTCTGAACAACGACTATAAAGTCATTGCTCCACCACGGAATTTTGGACAATTGTTTTATAGTATTTATTGAGTTGCTGTAAATATCACGTGGCTACAAAATAGTTGACGGTGATTCCTCATCCTGAAAGCATTTAAAAAACATTTTTCTTAACATTGCGGCCTTTTTCGAATGAAAAATTGATATGTATATTTCAAATTGATGGGAAGTTAAAAATTTCTGCACGAACGAAAGAATACGGCTCCTGCCAAGGAATATCGTAATAGGTTCAATCATCAGGAAGACGGAAGCACGGAAGAACCATCAGCGGTCGTCAGGAACGATGCAGGCGAATAGTCTGAAAGAAATATTTCCTACATCGGAGAAGGACTGTTAAATGGAAAACACACTGAAAAACAGAAAATGGATACTGTCGGGCCAATTCATCGTCCGGAAAAATATCGGCGATAGTAGAATATCTACAAGTGTTTGGACATTGGCTTCAACGGTGTCATTATATGTCCCAAATATAATTAATTCATGAAAGTTTCCTGAATTTAGTACATGACTGGATCGACGTATGAAATATGTCATTTCGTAGACTGGTGTTGCGGGGAAGTTCAATTTTGCTTCGAGGATATTTCCTCTGAAATAAATCGTTATGATAGTCTCAGTTGGAATTTCGATGAATTCTTTCATTATTGCCAGTGTCTCATCATTCCAATCCATGTTGTCTATTCCTCCTATGATGGTTGCATTCTTCATATGATCGAGCTAAATAGAAACACGAATGCTGTTAACATTTCAGTGAATTCCTAAATAAAACGCAATATGCAATTACACGTCAGTCACCCTTTTCAAATGTGATTCCCATTGGTAGTCGGGGTATTGATTCAGGTCGGGTGATAAGATGAAACAACAATAACAAAAATGGACCTTGTAGTTATGGCGAAGCTATACTGGAGATGGCGTCCTCCAAATTTGTTCTGCGTTCAAAAGCGACACCTCTGAGAGTGTGATTGATATCTAATCCAAAGGTATTTGCTACCGTCTGCGCTAGTGCTAAATGTAAATAAGAGGGTTGTCTATCCCGGATTTGATTTGCATGAAATTGAGCAACCGCACATGAAAATAATTCAGATATGTCGATCTAGATTCCGTAGATCCCAAGCAAATCCATTTTTTTAGAAAATTAAATATATTTATTATGACATAACGAATTACTCATCATTAAGTTTGAGTCGCACATTGATAGTAGAATGACAACATCAACGTCTGACATCAGCCGAATCTTTCGAAAATTGATAGCGCAAAGAAGTTTATGATACTATCATCATGTTTATATTGAATTTCTTGAATGCCTCTAGGTATACAGGGTATCTCTGAGTTCCATACCAGAATGGGGAAAGTGCTATATACCTGTCCATTCTCGATAGAAGAGGCCCTAACAATATATTAGGGTGACTAAAACAGCCACTGATACTACAGCGTTTGCTAGCTGTACATCCGTATGGCTGCACGAAACAGTGTACGAGATTTTTCTCCCATTAGACGCAGGCTGGGCACAATTCCCTGTCCACCCATGACCAAGATAGACGAAAAATTATGGTTTTGAAGAAGATGACAAAAGAGGCAATAAATGGTGCTCACTTCTCTTGCTTTTGCTGCTTAATTCTCTTTTTTTTCATTTTCGTAGAATTTTGCTGGAAAACCATTGCATATGCAGGCGGGTCTGACCGCTCAGGCTATACTGACCGTAAAATACAATATTAAAATGGTAATTTATAAGATGGTTAGATTTCACGAGATTCTGAGTAGTCTGCAGGTACTTTTCACAGACATTTTTCTCATTTTTTAACGGCCATTTGAGGACTGCAAACGACGTTGAAAATACAAAAAATGTGAAAAATTATGAAAACATCGTGAAAACTATGCAGCATGGCAAATGTATGAGAAGATTTCCCTGGGGTTAGTCCGGGGAAAAACCCTTGAACTATTCCAGCTGCTGCCTGCATCGTTCAACATCGGGCGCCAGCCAAGTCTTTCCTGGAAAACCTGACGAAAGCTAGCCGCAAAACAATTTTATCTATTCCTCGGGTTTTCGCTGGTAGGCCTCAGAATGCGGAGCGGGCATCAGCATGATACCGTAGAGTAGGCGGTGTTCACCAACATTTGAATACCTTTAGTAACTAATTTTATTTACTTAAAGCGTGTCGTTCGGAGAGAACTATTAGAAGACCTATGCCCTAGATCTTTCATTGAGGGATTTTTTCATCCGGGTCGAATTTAGAAGAGATCTCGGTACAGATGCTCCACCTGCGAATCCTTTACACTCTGCAGTGTGTGATACATTTTGGGGGATATGCAACGTTGGCATCCTAAAAGATTTATCGCCCACCTAATGTCCACCTCAATTCGAGGATGCTGATTAAAGCAATTTCAACACGAAGTAAAACTAGAGATACTTATGGAGGCATATGCGATTAGGCTTACCGGAATCACCTTCATTCCAAAACTACTAAATTCACTGCCACAATATGTGTTCCATTCCAAAGATGCGTCTCTGTGGCTGAAAACGTTCGCTCCGTAGCCAGAGAGCAACCTACTCTACTTGTCGGAGATACATAGGCGTTTCCTTTTCTGGCAGGCCCAAGTAAATATTAGAACCATCTACCCATCACAGCCACTTTAGAACCTACTGCCACTAATTGATGCCAAGTACTTGGAGCATCTGCTTGATAATGATTCCAAGCGCTAAAAGATTCCCTGGTTGAGAGACTCGCCGCTTTCCAAGAGGCCCGACTACATCAGTTCCTGGATAAAGAGGTTCTCGCTGATCGTAAGCCATCTCAAATTTTACGTTACTAGCGTATATGGCGCGCTATGTGCGCCAAATCGTCCACGTATGGGGTGTTATCATTGGAATATACATATATTTATATATTTCCAATGTAATATATACATATATAGAATTTCAAAAAGATGATGTCTTATAGTCTTATAGTGCTTTAGGCGTTCCCTTCCATGTTAGGGAGGGTGCAACGAGCTTTCCAGCCATTTTGCACCCTGCATTTGTCAGCCGCCTACTCAATAGGTGCAAGTATGTTGGCCCTTCGAGCAAACTCATAGAGCCCTTCTATACCGTCCCTATCAACATACATATCCTTGATGCAAGTGGTCCCAAAGACGTCCCAACGGATCTCGTCAACACCACTGCATCTGGTGCCTAAGTGGTGCGGGTTTTCGTCCGCCAGTCCACACTTCGGGCAGGTAGGGTCACTTCCTCTGCCTATTTTCGCCAGGTATGAGGCTAGGGGTCAGTGCCCAGTGATAAGTCCGATCAAAGACCGGAGTTTCATCCTGTTCAGCCCTACCAGCGTCTCCGCCAGCTGTTTTGTAGGTTCACGAAAAAGGGTCCTTGTATGTTTAGCGCCCTCTTCAGAGCGCCACCTTTCCACAACCCCCCTCTCCGCTCGTTTCCAGATCATATCCTTAACGAAGTCTATGTGCACCCCCACTGGGTTCTCCTCTGTTGGCGCAACCTCTAGACAACCTCTTTTGGCCAGCTCGTCGGCTTTCATGTTGCCGAAGATGCCAGCGTGGCCCGGAATCCAGACCACTTCCAGCTGATTATAGGAAGCCACCCTTTCCATCAGCTCAGTACAGTCGTTGACTAATCGAGAGCAACTCTCATTCTTGAGCAGTGCCCTCAACGCACGCCTGCTGTCTGAGCAGATGTATATCTTCTTGCCCCTGTCTCCCCTGCCTAGAATTTCCCTGGCACAGGCTTTCAGGGCTGCAAGCTCTGCTTGGAACACGGTCGTATGCGGGTCCAATCCAAGGGCCCTTGCAATTGAAGGTCCCTCAGACCAGATCCCTGCCCCCGCTCTATTACCAATTCTGGAGCCATCCGTGTACCAGACCAGCCCCTTCGGTGGCGTCCACTTTCTGTCACTCCCTAGTTGGGTTGCCCCATATCCAAGGTTGACCTTAAAACTCTTTTGGAAGTGCCATCGCGGTCCGCAGGCATCTCCTCCCCAGGACAGCAGTCCCCGAAGGTCGCTGTCCGCCGTGAGCATTGCCGCATGACTACTAGTGGCCTCCTTCCATCGACCTTGCAGTCATAATCTCGCAGCCGAGATCAGCGCCACCTCCTTAATGTGAAGGTGGGGCGGCTGAAGAAAGAGCAGAGCCTCCAGTGCTGAGGTGGGGGTCGTCCTGAGTGCCCCCGTAATTCCCAGCATCGCAAGCCTGCCTGTCCTGTCTACCGTTTTCCTGTGGCAGGCTTTGTTCATTGCCGTCCACCAGATAACAGCAGCATACGCAAGCTGTGGGAGCATTATGGCCGTGTAGATCCATTTCACGATTCTGGGCCTAAGCCCCCACGTGTTGCCAAACATCCTCCTGCATGCCCAGTAAGTCATGATGACTTTGTTGGTCTGCATGGTGATGTGCTTCTTCCAGCTGAGCCTTCTATCGAGCCATACCCCCAGGTATTTTACCTCGTTCGAAAAGCCCAGAACTATATCATAAATGGAGGGGGGTCTTACGACACACCTCCTCCTGCTAGTAAAGAGCACCATCTCCGTCTTGCTCGGGTTTACCCTGAGTTCATGAGAGGTGCACCACTGCTGAACATAGTCCAGCGCATTCTGCATCCTCCGGTGTAGTATGCCCTCATTCCTGCTACTCACGAGCAAAGCCACATCGTCTGCGTATCCGATTGCGTCCACCCCCAGTCTCTCAAGCCCAGTGAGGAGCCCGTCCGCAACGAGGAGCCACAGCAGTGGCGAGATGACCCCCCCCCCCTGCGGGCAGCCCCACCCCACTAGCGCCCTGACTGTACTGTCCTCGAGCGAGGAGTGGACCAACCTAGTTCGGAGCATAGCGGCGATCCATCTGATGATGGGTATCTCTATCCCAAAGGATGCCGCCGCCATCTCCATGGTTCCAAAGGAGGTATTATCAAAGGCCCCCTCTATGTCAATAAAGACAGCGAGGGTGTCCTCTTTCCTTTCCTTTACTCTTTCTATTTTTGCAACCAGGCTGTGCAGTGCCGTCTCAGTTGATCTGCCCGCCAAGATTCTCGGACTTCCCCGAAATAGCCCATCCTCTCCACAGGAATGCATATTCGATACATGAACACCAACCTCATAGGGTGGTGCTAAGCTAATGGAGAGGGTAGCTGGGTACAATCAGTCGGGATTGGAGTGGATCCTCGGCCACGCTCGCATCCTCAGAAGATGCATTCTCATTCAAAAGAAGCTGACTAGATAGGGCACCAACAAGGCGAGTGCCTTCTGGGTGTACATATGAACTTTGTATAAGACATGGTAAACGTAAACGTAAACCCACCCAAATTGCACGTTGTGGAGAGGTGACGCGTTGCGAGAAGCGCCAGACATAGAAGTACCCTTCTGCATGATCCCACTGAAAAGCTGTAGGTGTCGCTAGTGAGACTTCACTCTTTAATCGGGCGTATCACTAGTCACTGGCTACTAGCATATTATCTGGCAAAAATAAGCAGAGGGGTGACCCCACGTGCTCAAAATGCGGACTTATAGATGACGATCCGCACCTGGCTTGGAGAACGGGGACTTGGGAACGAGGGCGTTTGGAACGAGGCCGTTGGAAACCGCCAATACCCTTCACAAATCACCTTTTTCGGACTCGGTGTTTTATGCTCCGACGAGGAACATTCACATCAAGTATCATTTTGTGGGAAATGTACGTGATATTCTTTGAGATGCAATGTTAATTAAAAAAAAATAATA